ATCGTCCCGCTCGGTGACTCATCAAATCTTACCTCCATATGCTGCTTTTCGAATGGTCTGGCCGAAAGGGCGATTGCCAGCCTCAAATTTCTGGCCCGTCAGCTCGATGATAAGAGAAGTTGGCCATCTACGCTAAGCAGAGTGCTGCATCGTCTCAATGGTAAACCTTTTCTCGACACTGGTCTGTCTCCTTTCGAGATTTTCTACGGTCGTCCTCTCCGCCTCAGCCCGGAGAATGCTCTGGAGGAGGGCGATTTGGATGCCAGTGGTCACACTGTTCAGTCTCGCCAGGCTGTGCGTGATGAGATTGACCGCTTAGTTCAGACTGCATTAGAGGCCAGGCAGCAGCGCCTTGATGATACTCGTGGGTTACGTCGCCGTGGTCCTCCTCCGGTCGGTACTGAGGTCATTGTTTTTAACCCTGACACTCTGGGACGCGGAGGGAAATACGATCGGACGATCTACCGCGTCCTTGAGATTATTCGTGGCGTTGTCCTGAAGCTGGTAGATGCCAAGGTGCCAGAAGACCAAGTTATCCCCAGCATGATTAAGGAAACTCACTACGCCAATGTTCGCCCTTACTATCGTCCATCCGGGGGCATGTGGTTTGATGGATGGTCGATAGTGGGCCTCACGCACAGGTTGTGTGCGCCACAGGTGCCTGCGTGCAATCATGTGCACGCGTGTTTTTGCTCGGGCCGAGCAATGGCCAGTCCTTTATTCGTACAACCCAAGTCTGAGTCGTAGTAGACCCCATCTCCATCAGATTTATGTCTTAGTAGTAAGTTATTGACCTTGAGACTTAATGGCATCTTCACTGAGTCGTGTTCATGAGGCGGAGCCCGGTCAAACTCTCACAAGGAGTATTAGACATTCTGCGTGATATCCGCGCGCGCCCTTGGTTAGATTGAACTCCTAAACTTCCCGGGTGTAATATTAACTTTCTTGCTATTTTACCAAAACTATGGAATGAATGTTAACTAAATGGATAGTTGAAAATTTAATTACCAGTTTCTAGGGTTAATCTGTCTCAGTGTCTATTAGAATTACGGTATTAATTACCGTTATTAATTTGACCTGAAAATGTTAACACTTTCTGTGTAACACAGTGAACTAGGTGTAGGGGAAAATTGAGTTTCAGTCACTCGGTTGGGTTGAAAAATCCATAATTTGCGTGGCACGGCGTGAAACTTCGTAAAATATTTCATGTTCACATGAATTGATTTCTGATGCAAATTCGAGGAACTGTTTTATTTTTGTCACAAGGTTGATCTCGAGGTATACAGTATGTTATTAGGGAATTTATCGGCGTTAGGATATCTCTCCAAGTGGTGAGAGCTCGTGGGGTCAATCACTGGATGGCGGATATCCTCGGGAGAATGGGGAAGCGGTGTATGGGGTATCTTTTTAGAAGATTCGTTACGAATTTGTGAATATATTTGGACCATTGTCGCCCTCGAGCTCGTCAGAAAACACATGGCTGGAATGCCGAGGAATGCCCAGTTGGGACAAGACTTGCTCTATCACTTGGTTTCCCTCGTAGATCTCGTTTTCCGATTGCGCTGAGTTTTGGTTGTGTTCAAATTAGATACGGAGTTTGATTAGGAAGTGGCGATGAAATGCTACGGACAACTCAACGAATCAAATGATGAGCCCCAGAGTCGTTCCTCTACGACCCTGGAGGCCACCCATAAAAGTCCCTTAACGTCCACCGGGGCGAAACTCCGCATAAGTATGTCAGAAGTGGTCAAGTTACTCACCGCTACAGCAACACTAGGTAGACTTTAGTTTTCTCTCAGCCTAGAGACATTCGATTCACCATCATCATCCATCCTAACTACACTCAAACCCTCCTTATTATAATAGAAACCTCATTAGCCTCACAACATGACATCTAACAAATTCGATCAACTATCAGGAAACTCCTCTCCATTAATAATAGATGATACCATCCTATCGAATTCATCAGCGCTCGGCTCGCCAGAAAACCGCGGCCATCGCTTTTCTCCATCATCACAACTTCCCCAAACCTCCTCAATTTCCTTGTCGACCTCCGAGACCCCCGGTTCGATCCCCGGTGGCGGGCTTTCTTCATCGCCATCTTCTGATTTAACTTCATCTTCATATTTTTTCATTGGAATGTCCGGTTCTAGCTCAATTAGAGGTGGTCTTTCATCAACACTAACTCCAACAGCGGATCTGACAACACATAATATTCTTAAAGTTCTACTAAAAAGTTTTTCGTAGAGCTTTAGCAAGCTCTACTTATTCCTTGTATAGCTTTTTGATGACTTTTTTTGTGAGTTTTTCTAGTTTTTTGAAAAAACAGGATCTGTTCGATGAACTACGTCGGCTCACACACACATAATTTTCTGAGTTTCAGTTTTGGAGGAATATATGTTCGCTCTCCTCATCAGCTGCTGAGCTCAGAAGAGTTTATATATGAATTCGAGTAGAAGTGTGATACAGAACCAATAAGAATTTCCTCTCAGAATTTTAATATTATCACAAACTGTTACTACTACTTCCCATCAATGTTGGAGTAGTAGGAATATATGTAATCGCTTTCCTCATCAGCTGAGCTCACAAGAGTTTATATACGAATTCGAGTAGAAGTGTAATACAGAAACCAACAAGAATTTCCTCTCAGAATTTTCCTATTTTCCCCGCACTCACCTCTCGCGATGGGACTTCGTTCGAAGGTGTTGTCGTATTTCCCACGGTGACGCCAAAGTGACGTTGCAACGGCAGCCTATGAAAAAATTTCAGTCATGCGGCACAAGTAGTACTTGTTATACCATAATTTGACCAAATCGCGATAACTTTTAATAGCCGACAAGTTATGATATATATTACATACCTCTAGAGAACATCATTTTCACGTTTTTATCAACCACATTTGAAAATTCATGAGTAACGACTCACAATAGTTAGCTCCAGCAGCTTCCCCTTTAGTTAAATAAGAAATGTCCTCAACTTTCATATCCTCAAATTTCGGCAAAAACTCCTCCTTGGGAACTTCTTTAGTCGGAAAACTGAGGAAATGCAAGATTCAACCCAATACTCCGAAAAACAAAACTTCATACTACAACCAATATGAACGTTATATCAATTTAGGAGGAAATTCTGCAGTGTTAAGGGGAAATATTAAAATTCCCAGAGAATTATTGTTAGTTTTTGTACTACACTTCTACCCAAATTCGTATGCGAGGAAACTCCCGAGCTGAGCTGATGAGGAAATCCAACACTGCTTACTGCCATCCAGATTTGTAATAGAGTCTCGGGTCTTGACCAACTTCGTCACACCAGTCGTGATACATTAAATTAGACTGACATTATCAACTTCAAACCATCTGCAGTGCGATGCAAACCTACCCGATGAGCGTTTATACCCGTGTGAAAATGTACCGCTTCCGGAGTTTTTAGATGTGCGTCACAACAACTACACCAGAAGCTGAAAAATGGAAGTACAATTTGCGATTCGCTGAAAATATGAACGATAAAATTCCTATATATTATTAATTGGAGTTTCACCCTAGTGATATGAGAAAAAACTAGTGAAAAGTATATTTCACGACTACTGCATATCACCGCTTCACGTAAAACGGGTGAAACTCCATTGTAATACTTACAATGCAGTAATACATTGGAGCTTCACGCGTTTTTCGCGAAGTGAAATGTGTTTTTCACTAGTGTTTTTCACATCACTAGGGTGAAACTCCATTATAGTAACGTATTGAAGTAGTAACACTAGGTCTTCGTACCGCAGGGGCGGAGTTCGCTCTTCCCGCGTTTAGTGATTTGATCAACAAATTCGACATATCTCCCCGGTTCGATCCCCGGGTCGGACATTTTTCCGTCAAAAAAGTTTCGAGAAATCGAGTTTTTCGATTTTTGCGCAAACCTCGGCATATAAAAGAGTCGTTTCAATGCATCTACTGGCAGCGTTGTAATATATGTCCGCTTCCCTCAGCTGAGCGTAGGAGTTTCCTCACTAATTATAGGAGTCCATATACAAACTAGGGTAGAAATGTACAGAAACCAACAAGAATTTTGCAAAATTCCTCAGAAATTCCATATTGTCACCAACATATGTGGTCCGACATGTGCATATTTTCCCACACTGTCTACTGGACTCGTACGCTTTCTAGTTATTTTCTGCACGCATGCACAACACGAAAGCGCCTGTTGTTGCGGTATATGCTCCGCCCGTTACGCTCGCTCCGAGATTAGTATAAATATAATTCACTGGAGCTTCACGACCCGTTTCACGCGAAGTGGTGAAAACGCGATATCCAACGCGGTGATATGCAGTAGTCGTGGAATACGTTTTTCACTAGTGTTTATGCATATCACTAGGGTCAAGAAACTCCACTGCTATCAATGATACATGTAAAAACATGATAAAATTCCATAAAATTTTAATTTTTTTCGTTTCAGTATATCTAAAACATTTATCAGATAATTGCGGAGCGAGCGAAGCGAGCGGAGCGTATTCTCTCACTTTACTAACACTCTGTGCGTGCGTGCGTACAAATTATCCAGCTCGATCTAGAGAGGTTATGATCACATGCTATACACCATTCGATAGCTCTCGCTCTGGGGATACTAGGAAAAATACGAAATTAGGGTTCCGCCCGGACCATGTAGATTTCCGTGCAAAAAACATATTTTAGCAGAAAAACGCCAGGCATGGGAATCGAACCCGGATGCCGAGCTCCGCCCCTTCTCCGAGAAGGCCTAGTTATATATTCACCACGACAGCGACCAAACCTACTGCCTCGGGTAGCCATTTGCGCTGATCGCTAGTTTGATTCGATGGGATTTAATTTTCTCGATTTCCTTGTTGAACGCCTCGCATATTCCAAACCTTTTCCGCATCTTTTCCCGTTGAGTCAAATGCACCTAAAATTTTGTGAAAAAAATTTTAATTATTTGTATTAGAGTTTCACAACCCATTTTACGTGAAGTGGCGTCGTGAAACTCAGTGAAAAACGCGATATTCGCGGTGATATGCAATAGTCGTGAAATATGTGTTTCACTAGTGTTTATGCATATCACTAGAAGAAAATTCCATTATACGATAGATTATGATGATAAATTATCACTAAGCCCATATTTCCCGGAAAGAAATTACCAAAAATTACAGAAAATTACCAAAAATTACAGAAAATTGCAGAAAATTACACAAAATTACAGAAAATTACCAAAAATTACCAGGATGAAAAATAAAATCATAAAATTCCCCAAATAACGAGGGAAAAAACCAAAAATTACACGAAATTACCAAAAACTACGAGCAAAAAATACCAAAAAAATATCATAAATTACTATACCGGATCACTCCGATGCTCCGCTTCAATATCTCGCAGCGCATTGTCACCTGTCATACCAAAAATTGGGAAATTTTCACCAAAATTCCTCTCTTACTAATTCCTGCAGTTTCCACGAATACATCGCATATGTTACATAGAATTGAATCTTCCAAAATACCTATCGAAAAAAAAAAAGAAGAGAAATGCCGACGCCCGGAATCGAACGCAATAATGTTATGCCAGTTAGGAGAGTTGATAAACATAGGACTCAACGCGTGAGAAAGGCGTCTTAAATCCATCAATACTTTCATGTTGGAATCGCTCGCCTCGAGCACAGCGGAGCGAAGCGTTCCACGATGTGCATCAGTTAAATCAAAATCGAAAAAGTGAAGTTTCACGACCCGTTTTATATGAAGTGGCGTAATACTCCATGTGAAAAATACATTTTTTCGTGGAATGTGAAATATGTTTTTCACTAGGGGGGTTTCATATCACGGTTGAAACTCCATTGTAGTAGAGATGTGATAGTAACTATTAATGCTACTACTTCACAAATCACAACCTACTGGCAAAAATTATAAAGTTAGTATATGTTTAAATTAACGTTATTAATGTTATAATTAATTAAATTATATTAAATGTAGGAAATTTTCATATCACATATTAAACTCTCATAAAACCATGGAGTTTCACCCGTGATACGAAAAACATATTTCACGACTATAGCATATCACCGCGAATATCGCGTTTTTCACCGAGTTTTACGACGCCACTTCACGTAAAACGAATTGTGAAACTCCAATACAAAACCACCCTCCATCTCAAATCTTACTTATTTCTTCCTCCGGAATTTTTTCCACAATTTTTTCTCCCAAAACGATGCAAATTGGTTTAACCTCAACCAACCACGTGTTCGCTTCTTCCGACCAATTTCCAGCATATTTCACTCCGAATTCACCATGGAGAATCTCCGCTTCATATCTGCGTTGAGGAAATGCAAGTGAGAGCAAGATTGCAAGATTTACAAGGGTGTCACTCGCGGCAATTTAGCTCGCATTTTGATGATATCACCATCATCCCGAAATCGTTTATTAGGATTTCCATCCGGCTGAGAATATCTCCACTCGCGAGTAGATTCCCTAAGGTAGAGGAAATAGTAATTATAAACAACTGCACGACTACTGCATATCACCGCGAGCAATATCGCAGAGTACTACGCCACTTCACGTAAAACGGGTTGTGAAACTCCAGTGTTTGAGAAATTCTCATTGGTTTGTTACGTACTTGCCATATCGTTGCTATGTAACGAAACGATAGTAAAAGAGTGCGAATAGATATCGCCCAGAGGGCAGATACAGTATCAGAAAATGGCAATTGTAACTCAATAGGGTATCTAGTGTTTTCAGAGTTACACACTGTAGTTTCGCAACTACCCGTTTCACGTGAAGTGGTGAAAAATGCGATATTCGCGGTGATATGCAGTAGTCGTGAAATATGTTTTTCACTAGTGTTTTTCATATCACTAGGGTTAAGAAACTCCACTAGTGAAAACATATTCCACTCCGCGAAAAACGCATGTGAGTAGTGAATAACGCGTAAAACACGTGTTGTTGATATGGGGTGATTCGCCAAGTGTTGTCAATTCGCCACTTCATATCGCGTTTTTCAAATGGAGTATTACGACGCCACTTCACGTAAAACGGGTAGTCGTGAAACTCCATTATATAATGAATACATATATTGGAGTTTTACGAACCACCCGATCACACTACGAATGAGCAGCTCACGAACCGCGTACATACTCCTACTGAAATTCGCATACACTACATCACCACTAATATCAGCTCTACAATGGAAGAACATATGTTTACATCACCAACTATACAAATTCGGGTAGTAGAAATGTGGAGACACCAATGAGAATTCCTCAAAATTTCCTACTAGAATTGCCTTTTTTTCTTACCGTCTTCTCATCGCATCAGGATTTGGAATTAAATGAGTTATTCTCTCACGACTAGCCATAAACTCCTCAGGGGTCCTCCCATAAGGATGTATACTTCTATCAGTGCATATTGACCGTAGATGATCGTACGCGTTGCCGGAGGAGTGGTATGAGCGCCTGATTAGAGCGAAACTGTCAAGTGAACTTCACTCGAAATCGACTTGTTATCATTTGAGGTGGTGACGGGTGACACGATGAGTTTTGCAAAAAATAAGAATAACAACAGAAATAATTACGAAACACTCTATAATGGAGTTTCACAACTACCCGTTTTACGTGAAGTGGCGTCGTAATACTCAGTGGAAAACGCGATATTCGCGGTGATATGCAGTAGTCATGAAATATGTTTTTCACTAATGATTTTCATATCACTAGGGTGAAGAAACTCTAGTGGTTTCTGTATTACACTTCTACCCAAATTCATATATAAACTCTTCTGAGCTCAGCAGCTGATGAGGAAAGCGATTACATATATTCCAACACGCGTTAGTTCATACTGTTGGTAAGAAGTCTCCTCTTGCTCTTGCTCAAGCTGCGTGCGAGTTGGTGGTGTATTAACTCCGCCGAACGAATCAAAATCCGTAGCACTACTGCTAATTTCCGATCTGAAAAAAAAACAAAAATAGTGTTGGTGTTGACAACATGGAAATTCGCACCCGAGTTCACATGTCATTTGATGACGAAAGCGACCATATATTCCTCCAACACGCCGATTCTGAATTTTGAAAAATGAGTTCACTAAACAGTTTAGGAAAATATGCACATGGTCAACTACATGTGTTGGTGATAATATGAAATTTGGGGAAATTTTTCTACCCGAATTCATATTCAAACTCATATAGAAAAGCGAAGATATATTCCTCCAAAACTGCGCACAGAAGTATTTCCTTTACCATCACATGAGTGAAAAAGTAAATTATATTTTATGTGTAATGAGTATATTCATTTTTGTATTACCGCGACGATGACGCTGGAGTGAGTCGCACAACTCGGGTGAATCTGGAAAAAATTAAAACGATCACAAAATAATAAAATTCTTGAAAAAATAAAAAATGATGGAAGAGTTTCTTGACCACCCTAGTGATATGAAAAACATATTCCACGAGTACTGCATATCGTCGCGAATTTCGCGTTTTTCACCGAGTTTTACGCCGCCACTTCACGTAAAACGGGCAGTTGTGAAACTCCATATTTCATATTCATATTTGTTCTAGTATAATCGAGTTCCACTCGAAAAATGAAAAGCACTAGTGAAAAACATATTTCACATTTCACTTCGCGAAAAACGCATGTGAGCAGTGAATAACGCGTAAAACACGTGGTGTGGTTTTTCATGTGATACGGGGTGATTCGCCAAGTGTTTTCAATTCGCCACTTCATATCGCGTTTTTCACATGGAGTATTACGACGCCACTTCACGTAGTAAAACGGGTCGTCGTGAAACTCCATTATATGCTACTCTCGGATCGAAAATGGCTTACCCGGAACTGCTCGTTGGTCTCGGCGTTAGTGACACTCTAGAATCTGACATTTTGTTGATGATGAGATTTAGTGACAAATTCTGTAATTACCATTTATAAACCCGGGAGGTGGCGGAAATGACGGTCGAGGAGTTGCGCTTGAAGTGGTATGATGAACAGAGCCTGAAAATTCTCATTAATTGGTATAGCAATTTGGGAGGAAAATACGCACATGGTCAACTACATGTGTTGGTGATAAAATGAAAATTCTTATTGGTTTATGTATTACACTTCTACCCAAATTCATATATAAACTCTTCTGAGCTCAGCAGCTGATGAGGAAAGCGATTACATATATTCCTACTACTCCAACACTGATGGGAAGTAGTAGTAACAGTTTGTGATAATATTAAAAGTCTGAGAGGAAATTCTTATTGGTTTCTGTATTACACTTCTACCCAAATTCATATATAAACTCTTCTGAGCTCAGCAGCTGATGAGGAAAGCGATTACATATATTCCTACTACTCCAACACTGATGGGAAGTAGTAGTAACAGTTTGTGACAATATTAAAATTCTGAGAGGAAATTCTTATTGGTTTCTGTATTACACTTCTACCCAAATTCATATATAAACTCTTCTGAGCTCAGCAGCTGATGAGGAAAGCGATTACATATATTCCTACTACTCCAACACTGATGGGAAGTAGTAGTAACAGTTTGTGATAATATTAAAATTCTGAGAGGAAATTCTTATTGGTTTCTGTATTACACTTCTACCCGAATTCATATATAAACTCTTCTGAGCTCGGCAGCTGATGATGAGGAAAGCGATTACATATATTCCTACTACTCCAACAACACCACTGCGCGCGACTTACTCATTAGAGAATCCTCGGTTTCTGATGCACATCTTCGTGCATACGGATCTTCATCATCATCGTCACTGCTATTGAAATCAACGGCTTCAATAGTTTCCACATGTTCGCGACTTCGCACATGTTGTGTTGCCTCCCATACGCTCGAAAAGGTTTCGAGACAAGCCGGACAGTAATAGGAATTCCCTTGAGGGTCTGAAGAAAAAAATTATCAAAAAATTCACAAGTATTGATTTTACGTATTTGCAAGCCGTTTTGAATCAAGGCCGTTTCCGTACCTGATTTGAATCTTGTTGATCGATTAAGATACGCTTGTCATTACTATTATCATCTTCAGCGATACTTCTGAGCGGATTTGTGTAGATTCGATCGATATGAAGATCAGCTCGTGAAGTTGACACGTCCTCATCGGCTACTGTGGAGGGTAGTGAGCCGGCTGAACTTGGAATGAGAGTGCTTCCACTCGGTAAGGGGTTCGGCGCTGCCATACTAAGCTGGTTTAGAGCAACTACGCATAGTGTATGTGTCAATTTGATATGCAAATGTGTGGAGGAAGTTGTTGCTATCACAACACATGTTTATAGCTGCCATGGTTACATTGTATATGCGGTATAGTTTCAGATTGATTCTCATTAACCAGCATTACCGAGCACACGACTGACTCTCAGACTGAGAACGGACTGACCACCAAAGAGGTTTAGAGGTCTATCACCCCTACATGTACAGAATTATGGATAAGCTGCGACAAGTGCGACTGTTGGACTGAGGTCTACCACGAGTACAATGACAAATTCTTCGATTGTTCTCTGATTGCTTCTGAGTGTCTTCGTAGGTAAGGCATGGCTCATTATTTTCATTTTCCATATGGGAAAGTGAAACCGTTGCGGTGTAGAACATGGCATGTAATAACAAACTAAGATTACACTTAGCATCAACACACTTGTGGAATTGTGTTCTCGTTCATCATGGCTGCCGATGCTGATCAGCACACCGTCGGTAGAAGTGCGCGTCGTCTCAGCCAATACGACTTTGCCGTGTTGAGATACCACAATAATAGCCAAATGCAGCATAACCTCCAGTAGTTGCGGTATCGTAGATGAATGACGATAATAATATCGTAGATGTGCGCTTTCTCTAGTAGTACATAGCCACATAGAGCATGATTACTTCGAAGTAGCTATAGTTCATTCGTCACTAACAGTAGCCATCTTGGCTCAAGTTTCCCTTCTTCTCCTCTACCTCGCGTTACATCGCAACCCCACAGCCTTAACGTGCTTACTTAAGTAGTGAAATAGGAAGTCCTAGTTGCCTGAGGCGTTAATTAGGTTTAAGGCGCAATTTGCACCTATGAAACATGCGAGATAAACAGATGCGAGCGAGACGATAAATGAAACTGCAAGATACACGAATGGTGTGTCGTCTCAGCTCACGGTTCTTGCACTCTTGAGTGCTCTTATGATATCTCAATTCGGTTGAGTTGGTTTCGTTGAGGGAACTCTTTTTCCTCTCCCTGCAAAAGCGCTGACATTCAATTCGTTTGTGTGCAACTCGATAGAAGCAACTGTTATATATATTAATTTTGAATTTTTATTACATATTTCAGTGATATTTATAATTTTTCAGGAAAATTATTTTCTATATATGGGCTCGTCACAGTCATCCTGCTTGTCCTTGCCCCGGAAACACTCTTCGTTCAACGACGATTCGATTTCAACAAGATGTGGTAGTAGCAGCTTCGATGTGCTATCGACGAGTACTTCTCACTGTGATGATTTCCAAGCTCGTGTGAGAAGATCAGAATTGTGCGAGAGAATCGCTGGACGTGTTGGTCGAACGAGTGGTCGAGATAATGGTAGGGAAAAATTGGGAAAATTATATTTCCTAAAAATTTTCCGTGTTTATATTTTTTGTTCTTCAATACACTTTGTGGTAAAAGAATGGTAGTAAACAATTGAGAAAAATTTCTGTCCCGCATTTTTCATGTTTATGTTTTGTACATGTTTTGTTTTCAATACATTCATAAGGCACGACATTGTAGAGATGATAAGTTTGAGTTCTTTCCCCCTCAAATAAATTGATAATTATCGGTTAGGGAGAAGCTGAACGATCACATTTCTGGGATATCATTTTCCAATGGTTTCAGTTTTCTTAGCGGTAACCTCTTTTTGGGTTCTTGTTACGTTTAATGCCTTTTCATATTCACTTTTCTCTTACGTGGCTTTTTAAATGCTTTTATTTTTCATTTAATTGAAGTTTATGAATTCTCGGTTGTCATCTATGCTTCTACCAACAGCGTGAATCTCGAAAGTTTTGCCCAGCGAAAACGCTTTTAGTGACAGTATGTGATCTGTTAGTGCTGCGGTTCGTTCATATTATAGTTTCCTTTGGAACTTAGATTTGAGACTTTCTTTTCGTCATTGATTTTGGAATTTTACTGAACTAAAAAAGTTGAAATTGAATACGCATAGTCGCATATTTTTATCGTTTTCAGTTGAGGTTATTATGTGTGAAATTCCGTGTTGTCATTTATCTAATTTCATCTATCTGTCTATGAGTTGCATGGATCAACCTTCACTGCGCCATGAAATTATTATTCGATTCAGGTTTCTATAAAACTACTAAGCATGGATCTAGGGTTAAGTGTTGGTAAGGAATATTGTTCTCTCCAATGTATGTCTCTATTGTGTCGATTTCGATAGAAGTTCACGAGAAGATGGTATGACCTGTAAATCGTCTGTTGTACGACAAGGCTTGTATCATATTTAGTGATCATTATTACTAGGTTATCATTATCGATCATCTGGGCGCGCGCTGTTGTAGTCACTCAGATCTGATTCGTATTAACTCATCTTTCTCCTCTACAAATCTCGTAATCGTTACTATCCTCTTGAGTATTGTTTGTTGCTGATTCGTGAAGAGAAATCGATTACTTTGGCGCGCGCTACTGTTGTTGGCCGCTGAGTCAGTGTGATTCTGTTTGTTTTTAGTAGTGTATTTGCCAATTTAGGAGAGGTATGCTCCTTTTCACTGATATTTCAGTCGCCCGGAAGGATATGTGTTCCGTTGAGGAAACGTAAGGGAGAGCAAGATGAGCAAGATTATGGTTTTAGGTTTTCTCGTTCCAACTCAACTCTTTTTTACCGACTGATTCTAATTCATTACCCACAACTTTAATGAAAAAAAGCTGGTCTTTTCAAAATCATACCGACTTCAATTAACGACGTTAGTTTTGGCTACATAAGCGACCACGTCGAATTCTCCGCTACTATGCGTCCTACGCGTGTATGTACACATTTGCGAGTCGCAAATCGTTACTCGTACGGCACCAAAATAAAACTGATGTGAATCTGTATAATAGAAACTGTATCATCGGAAAATACCGGGAAGGAGCGTCCGAGGCCAACAAGGTTACGCAAGACAGGGTACTCAGCAGGAAAAGATATACATGTCCTGGGAGTCCCAAGTTGGGACTCATGGAGCTTGCCGACTCCGACTCGGAGGGCGTACTTTTGGTCGCGCAGGCGAGGCTCTATGAAGATGGAAGACTTCGGTGACTGGCTCGTACAATTTCTAATACACATCTGTGATGAGAGGCAGATCAACCCTGCGAAGCTCACATTGGCACTACCAATTCGGCAGGGGAGAATGCTCCCACGCACAGTCGAACCGAAATCAGACTACATCATTATATAGTAACTCAACCTACTCCTTCTCCTGTGTATATACTGAAGGTCAAACCATACTCGTCTCACCTTGATGCGGTAGGACTCTGATGGAGCTAACTCGAGAGGGCACACAAGAAATGGATTGATTCTCATATCACGGGGGTGCTGGATGGTGCTGTTCCCAGTGGTACTACGAAACTCCGAATCTCATATCCACTCATACTGCCGAGTGTATAGTAGGTAACTAACCGTTCGGTACTGTCTCTGTGAGAAGGATATGCTACACGGTAAGGTCAGAGAATGACATTCTCACAACGTGAGGTTATTTCCTGAGATACACATTCTCGGAATGTGTATGTCAGGAAATGACCTCACGAGTGTGGGGCATTCTCGACACTGCAAGTTTCTCGCGGATTGCGGCTCGCGATGGGGCGAATAGATCAATTACCGGCCCCTCTGGAGTAGCAAAAGCTAATGCCGTTAATAATAGTCGGGATGTTCTTAAAAAGACCACTTATATCATTAAAATTTTTGGTAATAAATTAAAATGTGTCGGTGAAAAATTGAAGGAGAGGGTATTATCGCAAAAGAAGGGGGTAAATTATTAAAAATTCAGACAAAATATTGAAGTGACCTGGAAATGCTGTAGACCTCATTCTCCCGCGTTACCCACCTTTTGGAACAGATAGTGTCGATAAGCATTACATAAGAATAGTACTGGTATTCTCGCTAGCAAGGTCAACAAAATGCCGCCTCTGTCTTTCACAGGACCAGGTTGGCACAACCCAGCCGCTTCACCCAAAGCATTACTCAGGTGGCGGAACTGATGAACTGTTTTACCACTGAATTCTCAGTTGCTCCAGAGGGCGTCCTCCCGAAGTGGCTCGTTTACACAGGGTGTGCTTTACTTCTGTTGAGGACGCTTTCATACGTTGAGGATGCTATCATACGTCCCTGTGCTGATGGGTCCCGTGCTAGTTAGCAGCGAACCTCAAACACCACATCTTCTGGTAAGCCTAGGTTATATTTTACAGTCCGAGGCCCATGGGCTGTATATCGAGTCGATGTAGTATTGCCTTTGGGCTTTTCAATAATTCCACCCCAAAAAGTTTTGATCCACCTTGGTTCATTGGAGTATTTCGCTACCGTTGAAGGGGAATAGTCGAATAACTGGACCACATATCGTCGAGACTCGTTGCGTTGGCATGCAACTGCATCCACACTTCTCAATTGTCGATCAGTCTCGTCGTTTTACTCGCTGACAGCGAGTCGCTGTTGTCACGTGCGAATTAATTGCGCAACGCGGGCAAAGGTAAAGACCTTCCTCCTATGGAGAACGTATACTTGCCAAGGGGATAGTTTCGCTACGGCCGCATAAAGCATGCGCCGCATTTCTCTGCGGCAGGCCAAAATCCGAGACCCGAGCTGGCCATGCTGAGGTCTATTATATCCCTACCATGTTTTGTGTCGGCCAACGGCTCTCGAAAAGCTCGATTCCTTCGGGCTCCTCGGAACGGTCGGATCCCGTGAATTCTTTAAATATGACGGTTATCAGGAGGGACATTAGTTGATAATCAATCTGATAACCTCTTCAATTCGCAAGCCATTGCTCGAACATCCCAGACAACAGTCTGGGATGACGGACATGATGAAATAATCAGTTAGCGCTCGTATTCGGAATATGATATTCCCTTTTGTATTTATCGAAGGTCTCAGTGAATGTGGCGAGATTGGAGGCCGATTTCATCTCCGGGATGAGTTCAGATTCCGATAGAATCTGTGCTCTGACTGGTGTAACACAAGGCGATCCCGAAGGTTGAGGAGGTAAAGTACACAACTTGTGTAACACAAGCAATCGTACCTGTCGTAAGCGAAGAGAATAATGTGTTTCCGCGTACAGCGCCGAGCGAACGGTTACGTATGCAAGAATTGTCTAATGTACTCACTATGAGAGGCGTTGACCGCTCAGCTGATGTCCTCCTGTTGATGAAATCCAGACAAGGATCTCGGAAAGAGCTTGGGTCTGCCTATAATAGACTGCCTATATCACGCAGACGTACGAGAAATGAGGTTAAGCGTGGAGAAGATCATCCATAAGGCAAAAGTGAGAGAGAGATGGTACAGACGAATGAGTTGCGAATTGGCATCAATATTCATGAAAAGTCAATGAAATAACTACTATTGTGTCACTCGGCTCAAGCCTTTGAGCCTCAAGGGCGAGTCTTCCCAGTGCTAACTCAAGAGTGTCGTTGTCTACGGAGTTAACCATCAATGATAGTGATACTAACTATAATAGAGCTACTATCAACATCATTAACCGACAATCCGTTTAATAATCCCGCAACCGGGGCACGTGTACTAAGCGTTGGGCGCTTAACCTATGCGTGCCAACAGAGCGATCGATGTCATGTTTGTGGGAAAAGAGACTATCCGCAATGAAAGGGCCCTTTCGATGGCTTGGTGCAGTAAACCCAAACCGCACTACGATCACTATAACACTCGACGAGTCAACGTCAGTGACGTCAGAGACAATACCGTGACGTTACGTCACGGTATTGTCTGAAAAAGCTTCCAGAACTGGACACGGACCACCGAGAGTTATTCAACGTACTCGCATAATAAGAGCAAATTGGACGACCAACAAATATCTGAATAATGGTAAACCAAAGCGGTTGATACGCTGAGGATTCTACTGTCGAGACAATATCAACTAATGGGCAGATTGTCGGTGTGCCAGCAACACCTGGCGACCATTGATATCAATAAACGGGTGGTCGAACTTCCTATCGTACTCTATAAGCCACAGGTCAGAGGCGCGCAGAGGATTGTACCGTGGGCACTTGCGCTCAAAGAGTTTTTTGAAGGCGGGGAACCCATAAATTGGCTGCTGGCTCACAATGTAGAGGCCATCACCCAACTTGTGAACCGGAAAGGTGTGCTTAGCTGGTCCGACAACTTCCTCACAGTAGAAAGAAATCGTCACTTGTGTAGCACGGTCTGTGAATGTATACCTCAAAGACAGAGGAGGGTCAACCTTGTTCACGAAATATGTACCTTGTAGCTGGTAGGGTGGGGGGGATAGAGCAACACCGACGAGTAGGAGCTGGATAAGTCGGTTCAGCATTGATTAAAAGAAGCCTATAGTGAACAGCCTCATAATGCTACTCTAAACCAGGGGTACTAATTCCAATTCTGGCCCTTTCTACGCCACACCACAATCGGTCGAAAATGCCCACACAAGTTTGAAGTTCCAACTTGTGAGCGGAACTCCACTCCTCTCTTAGAGTCATCGAGCAGAGGCCCATGTCGAGGTGATTATCAGATACGCATAGGACAGTCCCAGGTAAGGGGTGAGCTAAGTCCAGAAGTTTTGCAATTGGATGCTTGTAACCGATGTGAGGCAGGAAGACTTCTAGAATTTTCTATTGGCTAGCTTTTACGGTTCACTACAACTGGTGTGAGCTAATTCGTACGTGACACCCGAACGCCGCCAGTCTGAGAGCTGATCGATTTTACCATGCATACTGAAAGGAATCCTCGCCGATGTAGACTGCAGCATGCAATTTCGAGTAAACAAGAAGCAAGACTTGACAGTCGCGCTTCGCTCATCGTTGTGTAGAATGTTCATGAAGAACGCACGAGGGGACAGCGGTAGCGGTAAGTGCGTGACACCCGACCCTACATGCCCAACCAGTAGATCCTCATACCCGAGCCCGTGCTTAGGTTTGCAGATTAACAGCCTGAGTTCAGGTAGACCAAACTCACATCATACAGATTCTGTAATACAATAGGCCTCGGGCGTTCCGTATTACGAGAAGCCGTATGTCTGCCTGACACGCAAGGGCACCGCACTATGCACTTCATGGGTGACACTGTGTCACTGACACACGCACCTGAGTCACGACTCGTGACAGTGTCACGACCGAAGAGAATGTTAATGTTTGATACGGCTGGGATCTTCCTAGAAATTCTCAGCAGAATACTTCAAATATGCAAATGAGAAAAATCTTAGTTCCTTCGCAAAACTTTCGGTTCCCTAGGGGGGAGTTTTCGTCAGGAACTGGTGCTTGTTGGCTTTCATCATGAATCATGGGTACAATTGGCCGCACTAACAACTGTACCGCAAAAGGGTGCCATCGGAGCTACTTCGGTCGTGCCAACGAAATCGATCAGAATGAATTCTCGTTCTCCAGAATCACCTCGACCGTTTGAGCCCGTCTGTCGCGTATCATACGCGTCGTATGTCTTGCGTTGGTGCACTTGTGGTTAACCTGATGGCTCATCAGCGAGAACGCCATTGAGCGCACCATGTTCTGAGAACATTGGAGTTTCACCCGTGATGTGAAAAACACTAGTGAAAAACACATTTCACATTTCACTTCGCGAAAAACGCATGTGAACAGTGAATTTCGTGTAAAACATGTGAGGTGTTTTTCATGTGATATGCAAAACGCGAAATCATTTCGCGTTTTACGCGTTTGGCGCGATATGCATGCAAATTTCTAGCTGGTCAACTCTGGCTTCAGTGATCCTCCAGTCCAACTGAATATCTATACATATCCATGAAATTATTCAAGGCTAGTCGACTAGGTGGTGTGGACCGAAGACTTGCGGGGCTCCCCCCGAAGTCTCGGTCACAAGACAGGTGCCCGATTAATTGGTGCCGTACCAGTGGCCACTGTCACTGTGGAGTGAGCTCTGCCATGCAGTGGCACAGTCCCTGTCGGCCATCACCGTCATACCATTGACGGATCAAGTCCTTCCTGGGAAGATGCGGGTTCGAATCCCATGGATGTCATTATTCAAAACTTTCCACCCCTGCCACCATTGGGACTCGAGCTGCCTGCGGCAGCGTGCCTCGGATCATCTGTATTCCGCAACGTATGAATGAACCGCCACAGGGTATGATTTACTCTTAAGGTCTCCAAGGCTTGGAGTCCAAGCCCTGCTCTTACTGAGCTATCCGAACCAGTATAAGGTGAAGACCTGATGAAGCCGGCGTGGACGGGTACTCCGTGAAATCTTAGCATGTATAGTCGAACTGGTTAGCCTGTTCGGCCGTACATCGAGAGGTCCCCGGTTCGAACCTCGCTCAGCTCTCGCCCACAATCCCTCACAGAGGGGTCCGCAAGGCTGGTTGCTACATATGGCTGTTGACGGGATGATGATCATCATCATCCCACGAGGCCCCAACGTGGAAGTGCCAGTAGTAAGACGGATCCCGCGAGTGAGGTGACTCCATAGAGTGAAATGTGGGTGGACAGCTGGCAGTGGCATGAAGAGGACTTTTAATGGATGTTACTGCGAGATGGGGTGTTTTTCGCGTTTTTCTCGATAAAAAATTTCGCGAAATTCACAATCTCCCTTGTGAAATAAATGGTGCAAAACGCCGATTACTCGGAGTTTTTCGCGTTTATCGCGAAATGCCGGAAGCGTTTTACGTGAAATGTGATGATTTGTCTGGTGTAATTCGCGAAGTGTTTTCAATTCACTTCACATCGCGAATATCACGTTTTTCACGTGGAGTATTACGCCACTTCGCGTAAAACGGGTGAAACTCCAATGTTCTTACATCCACCATGAGTGGGACGAAATGTCCATTTCGAACCTCCTCGGAGCAAGATTTACATTTTTCATATCTGTTCTCACACCTTCCGACGAACTCAAATCGACCAGAGTCGCATTCCTTCTTCGTCTTCTGCATGGCCGCTTCGTTCACTTCGCAAACACCTCCCAATTCGTAGCGCAAGACCGTCTACCCCCAGAGGACGTGGTAACATATTCGAAGGCATATTGGTTGCCAAGGAAGATCCGGTAGGAGGGCCGTACTTGAGCGGGTTACTTTCGTCCGAACTCTACTAAAGGGAGGGGAGCGATGGACTATGAAGGGGATGGAAAGCGGCATGTGTACTTGAGTCTCTCATATTCACCCTCAGGCACTAAGGCTTAGTTCTAACTCAAGATCTGACTTCACGTTGTTTTTAAGGTTGGGTCTTTCACACGCAAGGCTGAGGCACGTGTGAAACGTTCTTAGAGTTTCTAATTGTTTGTTAGGTGAGGATTTTAGCCGTTAGTTCCATCGCCTTTGAGGAGTTACTAGGATCCACTGACTGTGAACTGCGCGCCGAGGGGGGGGGGCGTTACACTTTGCGGCGCTAATTCCAAGGGGGGAGGGGGTGGCCCACACATTTTTAGTTAGGCATTGGACTGGATATTATGTGTGTGATAAAATCTTCTCTTCTTGCTTACTCTCAGTTAGCTTAGTTCCAGGTTTGATAGCTCCGTTTCCCCCCTTTGAAGGGGACCCAAATAAAGCAGAGGAGAGGAAAGGGACCCTTTCCTCTCATCTGCTTTATTCGATGTCCACCGGATGCCATGTACGAAGTGGCAGGCTGAAGATGAGTTGCTGTCTGGGCTTCTCTTCGGGCCAATGCAAGCGCTGAAGGGAGCTATCAATACTCCGAACATACTTGAGAACAAGCCACGTGGTGTCCTGTCTACTGCTCGCAGGCTCGACGTCGGTCACACTCTGTTGGACCAGCAGATGACAACGCAATATCAGAGAGAATCGGATTGAAGGAATCATTAGGTTCGACGGTTTCGAATAGTCATGCGGGTATCTTGGCGAGCGATGATGGCACAAATATACAATATGCGAGCAATAAATCAATCGTCATATACAATGTCATCATACACAACACCAGAAGGATGGCTGGGTTCATCACGGCCTTGTGAAGGTAGATGTTTAGTTGCTCCATGAGTGGGTTGGAAGTGGAGCGGAGGGTATTGACCCAAAACTCATGCTAACTTTACCGCTTTCGCTGAAACTGGTTTGGTGCCCAACTCTTGGACTCTCTACACCGAGGAGGCCGATAAAAAGATTGTGAAACTGCTGGCCACGGATATGTTCGAGAACCACAAATTGTACCAGGAGACCACCGTGACCCACCGGGAGGAGCTGCATGAGTCAACGACTGTAGCCCTTTGATGCACTCTGAAGCATCGCCAGTCACTCCACAGCGCCTCCCACTGAGAGTGAGGAGTCGTTGTTGGAAGTACGCTTCGTAAAGCCTCATCTGATCAGTGAATCTGCCCGCGTGTTCTTCAACGACGGTGAGCATCCTGATTGGAGGCCGTCAAGCGATCTCCGTGGCAACCAAGGGGCCCCTTCTATTAACTACTTGAGCATCGTTAAAAGAACGGCTTCAGTGAAGATTATGTGGCGTTGTAAAATGGGCGCAACGGTGTATTTATGGAATTGAGGGTAATCGAGTCACGAGACGTTAGCATCGTATAACTAGCATGCCTGGGGGTCCCGTACCGAAATATGAGTGTTAAATATAGAGTAAAAACTTACTTTTTGGATCGCGCACCCTTTTTGCTAAGATTATGTGAGGGGGTGTATATGTTGTTGATCCGATCGAGAGGGCCAACTTCGAAGAAATTTTCGATTAACCCGGAAGCTCCTCGGCCACCCTAAATCCACATGATCATAGGTGCGCCCTCATCAGTCTCAAGAAGAGTCTCGTTGACTGGAGGGAAGTACCTCGAAAAATCAAGCTAATAAAAAAGAGTAAATTTTATTTTTTTTTTCATTTTTAGACTTTTTCAGCTCGAAAAACCAAGTCATCCACCAGTAGAACATAGAAGAGTTTTATACTCGGCGTCTATCGTCGCCATTCCTGCATCGCTTTGGACTTTTCTTACCTTGAATAAAGAAAACTTCAGAAGCGGAGGATCCCGGAGACGACCTACCTCAGTATCGTTTGAGATCCTAAACCGATCCACGGGCAGGGCAAAAACTCTTGAGATGCAAAGAGTTGCCCAGAGACTACGTATGAACGGCGACAGCATTTCGAAAAAGTTTCTACTAATACACGGTATGTTACTACCGGACTGTTCACATAGTAATTGTATAGACAAATTCTGCAATCTCAAACTGTAATCCCTGAAAATAGTTCATAGTCGATGTGAAGCGATTCGGCGCTAGTTCAGTTGACTTGGTAGCATAGCGGTGACGACTAGCCTATCTTGCTGTCTCTCCTTGTGATAGATATTCAATTTTTATTACAGTTCGAACACCTTCCCGACTGGTCAACGCAACATATTACATGGAAAAACAATAGTAACAGTTTAATCATAGGCCCGGTGTTCACTGCGACCGACCTCAAATATCTTCGATAAAGCCGTCTCACGTCTCAAGGGATGGTGACGAGGAAGCTGTACCACGTCAGTTTCCACGTTTGTAGTATTCCCAACCACACGTCTGAAGAGATTCAATTTACTTATTGTACTTCCACAGTGCCAAGTTGGATCTAATGCGGCAAGTTTATCGTCAACCCAAACACGTCCATCTCGTTGAAGACCATTTCGGAGCACATAAGCTGCCACTTCAAGTAGAAGTTCTTGAGGAAACTGCGGGGCTTCACCAACGATCCTGGCTAGAGCTGAGTTCGGCCTCATCGCTGCAGTTTGCGGGTTGAAATATTCTTTCGGGAAATCTGTCGTTGTTATAGTAGACGGCGTGAGTGCATACCATATGAAATTGCCTACTAAACCAAGCGGTACTGAAGCCATAGGAAACAGCGGACGCAGTGTTTGGTCAGTAACGATAAACACCGGGTGGACCTCCAGAATAAGGCCCTTCGCAATAGCATAATTTTTCACACCATTCACAGCTTCCTCAAAAGTGCATATTTCCTCTTGCCTGTTAGTTTCAAGAACCGCCTTTAACTCAGCATTTGGTATATACAACTTCGGTCGACGCACTTCACAATCTGTTTGCTCTATTGTTTTGTTTTGAACTGGCGCTCGCCCTAGCGAGATCAACGGAGATATGAGCGCAGGAAGCTCATCGTAATGAATGATTCCTCTTCTACCAAAGACAACCGCAAGCTGATCATCCGTTTGGAAAGTCCCTCGGGGCCTTTTCAGACCGTGCAACCTCGCGTAACCCCATATACTAGTGTAAAGATGCGACAGAGTACATTCACTGTTACCAATAATACGCCGTAAGCCCTGCGATGTGACAGTATAGATAGTTTGGGGAGTGCTCATGGGAAAATGTTGAATTCTGCGCTCAAAATCATCACCCTTCCCGTTGACCCCTGATTATGGACATCCACTTCGACTCAAACACGAATACGATTATCATTCTGATCATTTCACAATTCATATGTAAACTTCTACACTAATCGAGGAAACTCGCAAGCCCAGCTGGTGAAACCGACGACATATATACTCCCAACACCGACAACAACTGTATAACGATTCCGAAAATTTTACCAGGTAACCCTAATGGAAAAAATATAATTTTCCCCCAATCGAGATTTCTAAACCATGAACGCGGAATTTCTAATAGGATAATAAATAACGATGTTGAAGTATCATAATAGTCAACATCATTCGTTGATCGAAGACAGTATATTAGAGTTTCACCCCCGACTTGAAAACACTAATGAGAGATAAATTTCAATTGCACCACATAGCACGAATATCGGGATTTTTATAAGGTATTACGCCACTTCACATAAAACGGGTTTTGAAACTTTCTTAACAATATATCATCGTTTAGCTTGGATACTATTGCCTCGTACCCTAACGTTATCCAGCACTACAAACCTCCTACTTCCAGATCAACACCGAGCGTGAACCAATAATAAATCCTCAACTGCTGCCGCCGCCGTCTACCACCAGTTGCGAACAGGAGTCGGAGCGTTGAACGATACAGTGGAGTTTCACGATCCTGTGCGATATGAAAAACATATTTCACAATTCACTTCGCATAAAATAATTGTTTTATCGGTCGCGGAAATTTACGCCTTTTCACGTCAAACGGGTCGTGAAACTCCAAAAAATCTTCGAGAGTTTCATCCGCACTCCAAACCACATCGAGTCCCACCACTCCTCTACATCGGCCGATTCATTCACCATAGCGCAAAAATGAGTTGACGGAGCGATGGAGCTGTACAAGGGACAATATACTTCCCAATTTCAAGTATCAATTCGGGGGTGACTGGTGATACCGCCTTACCAAAAATTCCACCCAGCGTCGGAAAAATGAGTTTAGAAGCTTATATACAAATTCGGATAAAAGTGCACAGAAACTATGAAGACTTCCCAAAAATTTTCCTCACAACTTCCACAAATGTGCCCTACATATGTAGTTGACAATATGCATATTTTCCCACACCGATTCCACCTCTAGCATAAATACGCTCCTCATTATCGGTCCTTAATAACGAGCAACACATAGTTGAATGATCACATCTTACCACCACCAGGAGCTCCTCTGGACTTGTCATCACCGACTGCAAACCAAAACAAACTAATTTGGATATCGTTCATGATGAGCATGAGCAGCAGTCGAAACAATAACAATTTCACAGAATTTATAAAAACCAATCTCGATGATCATGTTACTCACATAAGATATACACGTCGTTTCGGACATGTGAAAGACACACCAGGAACCTATAATGTTCCCGGGAGGAACATTCTTCAATCAGATTCCCATGTAAATGTCATCACATTGATAACATCATTTTCCCCACTATTATCAAACCCTGGGAAACGTTTTCTCTCAGAGGTAGATGAGTTCCTGGCCAAGACTTACACTGATACGCATTACCAGTGTTTTCCATATCACTAGGGTGAAGAAATTTCAATGTTCCCAGTAGGAACATTCGACAATTTCCCATGTAAATGTCATCACATTAGTAACATCCCTTTCCCCACTGTTATCAAACCCTGGGGGACGTTTTTTCTCAAGAGTTAGATAATTCCTTGTAAGGACACGCCCTGAAGGATGACTATATGTTCGTAAAAGACGATACTCTCCAAAAATGGTATATAAAACTACGGCAAATCCTACACATGATCACTTCCCACAAAAAAATAATTTTTAGCATTACATTGTGTTTATGGCTATACGAGTCTTCTCAAAATAAGGACGATTATACGCTACCCTAAGATACCCAATTTCAGTGTTGGAATATCATATTTGCTTTTCTAAATGATGATACAACCAGTGTAGAAATTTACAGGAATCAACGACTAACCACATAATTTCCATATTCCCATATTGCGTGCATATTTTCGCACAGTGCTTCTGTTACACGAAACCCTCAAAAGTTCAGTTGAGGAATTTTCAAGGAGAAAACATTGGAGTTTGTCCACCCTAGTGATATGAAAAAAATATTCCACGACTACTGCATATCACCGCGAATATCGCGTTTTCACCACTTCACGTAAAGCGGGTGATCGTGAAACTCCAATCAAGAAGACCTGCTGCCAGAAGAATGAGAGAATCGGCGTCATTCGGGAAATTTCAGTTGCTCATTAGTGACCAAGCCAGTACGATACAATTAACAACCCCAACACTTCCTCATAAGCCATTCAAGTATTTACTTCTCACGGAAACAACAGCAGTTTTACTCCTCCGTAGATGTTGCTTGTTGTGAAACGATTTTGCCCACAATGTCATCGTCACGGAAAACTTGGAAGTCTTCACCGTCCAACTTCAAATTCATACCACCAAATTCGGGTATAATAACTTTATCACCGGGCTGGACCGAAATAGGGATCTGAAAAAACGACGACGACAATACAACTGTATTGATGATGATGATACAGATACACACTGTATAGACAACGACGACGACAATACAACTGTATTGATGATGATGATACAGATACACACTGTATAGACAACGACGACGACAATACAACTGTGATGATGATGATACAGATACACACTGTATAGACAACGACGACGACAATACAACTGTATTGATGATGATGATACAGATACACACTGTATAGACAACGACGACGACAATACAACTGTATTGATGATGATGATACGGATACACACTGTATAGACAACGACGACGACAATACAACTGTATTGATGATGATGATACAGATACACACTGTATAGACAACGACGACGACAATACAACTGTATTGATGATGATGATACGGATACACACTGTATAGACAACGACGACGACAATACAACTGTATTGATGATGATGATACAGATACACACTGTATAGACAACGACGACGACAATACAACTGTATTGATGATGATAATACAGATACACACTGTATAGACAACGACGACGACAATACAACTGTATTGATGATGATGATGATACAGATACACACTGTATAGACAACGACGACGACAATACAACTGTATTGATGATGATAATACAGATACACACTGTATAGACAACGACGACGACAATACAACTGTATCGACCACCGAGAAGCGTCGAAAGCATACCTCACATGGTAGCCTTCCCCCACTTCACCTTAGTTCCATCATTGAGGATCCTACCGCTACCAACAGCCATGACTACAGCCTGGTTAATAGTCGGCTTGGCAGCCTCGGGCAGGAACACTCCTGTAGCGGTCTTCGACTCCACACTGAACAACAACCATACAGTACTTTCCTACAGCCGTACAGCAGCAAGAGCGAGGTTGTCAAGTGCAAGCGCGTATCAATCTAGTAGGGTGCTCACCGAAGTTTCTGCACTAGGACTCGGTCTAGGAGAGGGATGAAGCGGCAGGCAACCTTAGAAGCAGCAGTAGTGGCGTGTACTACAGACATGTGCGTATCGATCCAATAAAAATCACCTGTACAACCACCGTAGACGAGGGCAAGGTTATCTAAACGGAGGCCATTATAGATTGTTCAATGAGCAGTCAGTTGAGGAAATACAGGAACTCCAAGGTTTTCAAATCTCGCTACGCCCAACTGATCGATTATGCTCAATTCTGTGCGCAGCAACGGTGCGTAGTGTCATTTTTAAGGTGCGCCTTAAGGAGCAGTTCCAAAGTCATAGGCCCAGTATTACTCCGCTTCGCTGTTATAGTGACTGCTATCTATTTTCATGCAAAAGGAGTTATTGTGCATTGTATCTTGTAGTCCCTTGTTTAGATACAAATGACATTTACCAACCCCATGCGAATCTTAGCACTAGCATATATCTTAGCATATAGCTTAGCATATATGTTAGCATATCTTATCATATATCTTAGCATATCTTAGCATATCTTAGCATATCTTAACACTATATATTCATTTATTATGCTAAATAAGTTTCCGCAAAGTCTCGTACTTTTCATAAGAACTATCGTAAAAGTGTAACACATATACGTTCAAGGCGTAAAATTTTACGCTTAACAACAACTGCTGAAATATTTTTCAGCGTAACAAACAGTGCAATCTAATGAGCTCTTCCCCTGGTAACTACGCGGCGATGACCATTGCGGAGCTCCGAAGTATTCTAACTAGAAATGGTGTTAAGGTGCCTCAGTCTAGTGTAAAGAAGGCAGTACTGGTAAAGTAAGTGTGTGGTATCTTGAGGGTGACCGAGGAAGATACAGAATAGGCCCATGTTATACTTGCGCGCATTTTAACAACACATATCTCTGTATATCAAGAAGCCGTGCATTTGTGGTATATTAATTCTACTTGGAATTCTCCAAATTTAATCGGACTTCGAATTTTTCAAACAAGTTGTACTTTTTTACCACGCGCATTCTAACTGTATGTTGTTGCCGATGGTGATAACATCAGAAAAATGCCTTATAACGCAGCCTGATTATACCTAGTTGATTTTCAGCTGAGAGATTTTTTCACTTGAGGGGGACACCTTGTGTGCTGCGGAAAATTGCGATAATTATGGTGCATCAGCATTTTCTAATGTGAATTTTTCATCGAGAATTTATTATCTTCGTCAACGAACTAACACGGGGTTATATACTGGGTGATAATTGTCTCGTTCGCCCTCATATCTCAGTAATGGTTCCGAATATTATAGTTTCATTCGAGTATATAATATTTATTCTCTGTTGAAGTATGAGAGAATACGGTAAGGTTAGTGTGTTGGTCGCAAGCGGAAGTTTTGGTTGGTTTTTGGGCATTTTTATTTCAAGTCGTGAGGCTGCTTCTGAGCTCAGTTGTTGAGGAAACTAAACCGAAGTTGAAGTTTCAGCTCAAAATTTTGATTTGTTAACGAGAAATGCAGATTTTTTTTCGAATTCTCCTAGGAGAAAATACGCTGTTTACTTGTGTGACATGTGTTGTAACTATTTTTCGCTCTAACTTTTTTTTCTGTTTAGCATGTGTTTGAAGGAGTTGGGTCCTGTCGTTTCGAGAAGAGAATCTTCTATCGCGAGTCCGCTACCACAAACACCGTCGAGCTCTGGAGGAAAGAGTAAGCGCAAAGTTGGAAAAAAATATATATGTTTGCTTTACTCAGCTTCTTGAAACGATCGATAAAAACATATATTATTGGAGTTTCACAACTCGTTTTACGTGAAGTGGCGTCGTAAAACTCGTTCCTCATTATATTTTTGCCAGAAGCTTTTCGTGGGGTAAAAGTGTACAGAAATCAACAAGAATTTTCTAAATTTTCATAATTGATATTCCGTTTTGTATAGAAAAGCTCCGCTCCGCCCTTTTTTTTCGCAGGCCCTGTTAGATCGCGCCGCGGTCCATCTAGCAGGGATAGGGGTTCGAGAGTGAGTAAGAGCTCGAGAGTTGGTCGTGAAAGGTCAGTAAAATTGAATATTTTTCTGGGAATTTTAATTTTTTGAACTTTTTTTCTCGTCGTGCTTACTTGAACATTGTGAAAAATGTCGATGTGAAGGATACTCGTTGGAGTTTCAAGGAAAATTGAGAAATTTATGGTTATAATAGATGTATATAGTAGCAGTAATACCTTTCACAACTCGTTTTACGTGAAGTGGCGTCGTAAAACTCGGCGAAAAATGCGATATTCGACGCGGTGATATGCAGTAGTCGTGAAATATGTTTTTTCACCAGTGTTTTTCATATCACTAGGGCCGCCCGTGAAACTCTGATGAAAAGTTGCTTTGATATTCACCAACAACAATTGAGAGAATCTCAACACATGTATCGTGTTCGTTTAGCTCCACTTCGCGTTTCACAAGTGGAATTGTAATAAGTTTATTTTGCATTTAATTTTCAAAATTTCATTTTTGAATTTTTCTAATTTTTTTTTGCCTATGCGTTTGGAAATTCACACAGGTGGAATATGTAATATTTGCAATTTAGCACTAGTCGAGCTAAGACGAAATCTCAAGGCTCTGCGGTGACGAGGAGGAGTTCGAGAGCGCGCACTAGCATCTCATCCGCGTTTGATAGTGAGGGTAGTAGCGGGAGAAAAATTTTGAGAAAAAATGAAATTTTTCTGCAAAAAAAGTGGGTAAATCATCAAAAATTTAATGAACTATCATGAGTTTAATGAAAATTTATGAGCAAAATATTTAATTGTCAGCGTCACTCGCCACAAAATTGTGTGTTCAGGAACTGACCTCGTCGATGTGGCTCGGATGTTCTCTAGTGATGAAGAGGAGATGAGCGATTCGAAAGGGTAGGTGGGCAGTATGTGATTCGGGAGAATTGTGGTATAAGGCACGATCGCACAAGTAGTGTGTCACCAACAAGGAGGAGTAGTAGAAGACGTAAATCGAGTGAGTTGATAACAGCAGTGGTGAATTTTTCTATGTTGGTTGGTATCAGGCCGACCTCCGAGTCGTAGCAGTGGAGTGTCGAGTATGGAAAAGGTGATAGTTTGTGGATTCCGCGCGCCGCAAAATTATGAGTGATTACTTCTATTGGTTGTTTTGGAGTGGGAAAATATATATCACGACTACTGCACAGTGTGGGAAATATGCACATGGTGGACCACATATGTTGGTGACAATATGGAATTTTGAGAAATTTGCAAATTCTTGTTGGTTTCTGTACATTTCTACCCTAGTTCGTATATGGACTCCTATAAT